ATACATTTTGACATTAAAGTGTTATATTATTATAAATAAACTAAATTGACTATATACCCATATCATGAAGTAAATAATGCTATAGCTCAGTTAGTTAATTGGTTTAATGTTAATAATTTGCATTTGAATGGAACTAAAACTAAATGTATGAAATTCGTAAATCCTAATGTTAAACATGTCAATACTAATGTAATTTTAAATGGGGAAGAACTGAGTCTTGTTGATACCACCATTTTTCTTGGAATCACACTGGAGGCAAAGTTTAATGGCTCCCCCATATATCAAAACTAGCTAGCAGACTTAGTTATGCAGTAAAAAAGATTAGAACTCTTACCAATGTTGAAACAGCTAGAATAGTTTACTTTAGTTATTAATATAGCATTATGTCGTATGGTATTTTGCTATGGGGACACGCGACTGATACCGAAATTATATTTATTTTACAGAAGAGGACCATTAGAGCAATATATAATTTAAAACCAAAAGAGTCACTAAGACAAAAATTTAAGGAAATTAATATATTAACTCTGGCCTCTCAATACATTTATGAAAATGTAATGTACGTACACAAAAATAAAAGTAGTCTTGCGAAAATAAGTGATATTCATTCTGTAAATACTAGGAACAGACACAAGCTAGTAGTACCAGTTACTCGACTCCACCGAGTCAGTAATTCATTCTTGGGGCGATGTATACGCTTTTACAACAAAATCCCAGAAAATATACAAAAATTATCATATACAAAGTTCAAAAATGTTATTAAACTAAGTTTTTATAAAAAGGGTTATTATAATATTAAGGAATTTATGGATGATAATAACCCCTGGGAAGGGTGATCGCTACCAAGCTATTTCTAATTTGTCTTGTGTTGCTAATTGTAAACATGATTGTAAGCTATTATTTGGAACAAAAATAGACCCGCTGAGTTTCCTGCTGGTTCTTTCCAGGACAGAGATTTTTTGCGAGCCAGTGGTAAATGAAAAAATTGACTTTCAATAAGTATTGTAATAATCTACATTGAATAAAAAGTTTCTGTTTCTGTTTCATGACATGTGCCAATTAATTCTAGATGACAATTAGACAAAATGATGACAATTATTATATGCTATATTGTACTATACCTTTATTATTTTTAAAATTTTCTTATTATTAATACATTATTTAATTATTTCAATTAGAAACTGACATCAGAAGAGAAAAAATGTTATTAAAGAAGGTTGCAATTTATTTTAGTTATTATTTTATATTTTGTGTGCAGTAGGCACATAGAAAACCTACCTTGTATTTTACTATGTACATATTGAGATCTGTAAAATAACCTATGTTCACAAAGTAAACTGATTTGATTAAAAAAAAAACATTTACTTTTACAGGTTATTGAAAGTTCATTGCCGAACATAGACCTCTCCCACAGATTGTCTCATGGATTACGCCATGTTTGCAGGGCGGACAAACACCGCTTTTAGGGTTCCGTAGTCAACTAGGAACCCTTATAGTTTCGCCATATCTGTCTGTCGGTCCTCGCTTAATCTCTGTGACCGTTAGCACTAGAAAGCTGAAATCTGGTACCAATATGTGTATCATTCACGCCGACAAAGTGGTAAAATAAAAATTGGAAAAAAAATGTGTTATTGGGGTAGCCCCCTATATGTAGTGGGAAGTGATTTTTTTTTTTAATTTCAACCCTAACGTGTGATATATTGTTGGAAAGGTATTTAAAAATAAATAGGGGTTTACTGGAATCATTTTTTGATAATGTCAATAATTTCGGAAATAATCGCTCCAAAAGTAAAAAACACTGTGTCCCCCCCTCTAACTTTTGAACCATATGTTTAGAAAATATGAAAAAAATCTGAAAAGTAGAACTTTATAAGGACTTTATAGGAAAATAATTTTGAACTTGGATGGAAACAACAGTACCCACCACAGGGAGCAGTTGCAGGAGCGCGGAGCGCTGCTGGAGCGCGAACATAATGGATACCCACCTTTAAACTCATAAGTGGGAACACTTATTCTGACGGACGGGAAACTACGGAACCCTACACTGAAGGTGGCCCGACACGCTCTTGGCCGGTTTTTATAACTTATAGTCGTTATCAGGAAGACGTTGCCGCCCATCTTTCCGTTTGCTTCCCTCTGCCGCGTCTTACGACAGCGATAGAATAGTATGCGGCAGGGGATACCATAGGATACTGTAATGCATATAGTGTTCTATGGTGGATATTCTTACACCCCTACTACACCATCTAATACGTTATTTGTTAAATATTTTTCATTCATTCGATTTCTGTTATGATGATTATCATTATTATTACCATTCGTTTCAATGAAACTGTATATATGTGTTGTACAGTGTTTATAATTTTCCAAAAAGCCTGTTCATAAAGACCACCGCAATAAATATGTAACATTAATATCTTAATATTATTGCCGGTGCACAATTGTATGAGCTATAATATTTATACAATTCAATTGCTAGTTTTTTTATAGAATAAGGGTGACTAACGAGCACACAAACCACCTGATGGTAAGTGGAAGCTGTGACCCACAGACATCTATATTTATCCTCAATTAAGGATGGAAATGCATATATGTTGTCATCCCTAAGGAGATAATGCCTTATTTCCAGTAAAAATGGGTCTCTGGTTCTTTACACTCGTCATACGAAACACAACAGTCTTAAGCTGATATTTTTCGCTGGTATTCTGTGAGAGCGTGGTCCTACTACGGTTGAGCCGACTCACTCGTGCTACAATCAGCGTAGCTCTACCACGTGAAACAGAAACAGAAACTTTTTTATTTAATGTAGATTACAAAGGTTCGCAAAAAACCTTTGTCCTGGGAAGAACCAGCAAGAAACCCAGCGGGACTATTTTTTTTAAAATAATAGTTTACAATCACGTATACAAAAGATATACGTATAATGAATGTTACATATAGGATATAACGCTCTCTTATAGGTTTAACTGTGCACAGAATAAATAATAGTACTACGACTGTAGTGATATATGGATTTGAACTTGAAATCCGTTAGACACAAAAATAATCGCTGCATCGATGATGTAATTATTAAGTCACACTTTATGAGTAGACGCAAAACCGGTGATTTGCGAATGTCCTTCAAAATATGTTTTAAAAAACTTGTTAATTAAATTTTGCCTTTTTCTGAACAGCTTTAATATGATTTGTTGTTTTATTATTTATATTGCGTTCGTAGAATTGGATTACAAGAATTTATATTATGACAGTTACCTTTTTAATTTTTGTTTTTGCTTTGGTGTTATAGAAATATTTGAGTTTTGTTTGAGCTGTTTTTTGAGAGGTTAATAATTACTTAAATTATAAGGTCTTTATTGACATAAAATTAAAATAAACAACATTTATTAGTTAGCAAAATAAAAAATGCTAAAAGTAAAAACTTAAATTTTCATAAAGTCCTACTCTCCGCGGTATGGTGCCAAGAACGCTGGCTGCGTTTCCTCGCTGAATAGCTGTAATTAGCCTTTGTGCGAGAAAAGATCTAAATTTCTTAACACCAGAGGTGAGATTAGTTTAAACTAATGTTTTGATGGAAGGGCTAGTTTAAGAAATTTGGATGTTTTTTAATTTAAGAGCTATAATAGTTTTCCTGGTCTGGAGTTTTGTCCAAGCGCAATTTATGTATGTGAAACACTTCCACAAAACAGTAGAAAATTCTTAAGGGTGAACCTTATAAAATTATAAGTAATGTGTATTAACGTGTTTTTTTTATAGAAATTAATTTTCTAATGTCAGAACATAACATTGATTATAAAAGCGTGACATCCACCTTTTGTTCGAAGCTTCTACAAGTATATTAATACGTTTTTCTGTTAAGCTTGCCTTTTCATAACCTTACAGAAGGGCTACAGACAATTTGTAGGTTTCGTTGTAGGTAATTGTGAGTAGGTGAAGCGTGAGCAAAAAAAAAGAAGAGAAAAGCAGAAGAAGATACACAGTCAGTGGACACCTGCAACTATCTTTAAACAAAGAAGTCACAGAAGCGAAGTGAACACGTATTCTACCAGATAATATCCATTTCAACCCATCTAGAGTTCACTATTGAACATAATTTCCATATAGATTGTCTCATAGGGCAATATTTGCAACAGCTGATATGTTTGCTACCAAGAATTTTCAAACGCAACTTTTATGTATTTTGAGAAGTTATCAGGAAAATGTTTCTGACCGTTTCCTATTTTATTTCATAAAGTTTTTCACCTTACCTTCGTTTAAATTACCTTACTTATTTTAAAAAAGGCGTCTTAATTACCTTGCTTACAAAGAAAAGATAAAAAATACGTTTTTTAAAGTGCTTATTTTTTTTCCTTACCTGTATCCCGATAAATAACGAACACGATTCAGCGAAACGAAATCATGTACTAAATTAACTAACATGTAAGTTTTACTAAATCGGGAAAGTAAAAATTAACGCGGTAAGGAATGTTAGTTAAAGTTTGTATATAGATATAGAAAAAACTTAAATATAAAAATATAGATTTATAATAATATAATACTGATTTAGATTGATGAGATAGGTAATTAATGGAATTGGACCATTACCCCAGAGAAATGGGAGGAAACCTTTATTGAGACATAGCTCTTAAGGCCTTAAATAATACATATTGAAAGTCTATAGCCATAATCTAATAATCTATACACAAAATATGTTTTCCTAATTTATTTTCGAAAAATAGTTTGATGTATTTTTGGGATCGATTTTGTATACAAGACGGTATTGCTGATAATTTTATAGCCTTAAATTCGATGGAAAACAGATAAAATAAATAAATCCAACATCTAAAAAGTATAATTCGCACAGCAAACCAATCGCGAACGCGTTTCACAACATATGAACTGAGAAAAGGATCCGTTGCAGAAGTACTAATCACAGTTTTTTGATTAATAGTAATAAGGAAAGTACACAAAACAGTTTTAAACGAAAGTTTAAAATAACGAATGTATGAAACACAAGTACGCACCCAAAGCGCGTTCATGCTGCAGCGACTCCGGCAACTGTGGACACAAGTGTCGCGGTGCCCAAACGACCTGTCTTATATACCTGACATGAAGATGACTTGCCCGATGGCCGTTGCCCAGACCCAATAACAAGGTTGTGTCACGCACACTGTATACTTTGAGGCGGGAAACCGGTAAGACTAAATTTCTCACCATTTCTCAATGAAGCGGTCGAACACCGGAATAGCGCTTCGCGATTCATTTTGGGCATTTTTTTTGTAAATATGTAGAACTTTTGTCATATTTTAAATTCCTTTGTCTTTTTTTAAATGTTCCTTTATCCTGTAGTAAATATCCTGTAATGTATTAAATCGTGATAATGTTAAAATTAAGCTAAAGGTTCATTAATTTACCCCCATCTAATCCCTATTTTATCGTTCTACGAATTGATCACAAAGTAATAATTTATCTCTTCCTCTAGAAAAAGCACCTACATCTGTCATCAACTCCTAATTAATGACAGATGTATGTGCTTATGAATCTCATAAGTATATTTTATTACCATCAGGTGGATCTTATATCATACTTTTATGTGTAAGAAAAGTTTTAAGCAAATACAAAGATAGACGCGGATAAGCTAAGATTAAGACTTAGTTTAACTGTAACGTAATTAGAGATTTTTAAATCTCTAGTTGTTTAGCTTAAGCTCTGGTATATACAACAATTAGGAACACAAACGTACAGCGGTGGAGTTGTAGTATTTATTGATATAATAGTAGCGTAAGTGGATACATCACCCAATGAAAATTATAACCAGATCAAAGGAAACACGAGAACGTTTGTTAGTTGGGAACATGGTTACATGGTACTGGAGATATTGTGGATTTTTATGATATTGTTGATTTTCATATTTTATACTACAATGTTAATTAAACTTGATAAAATTCTTTTTCATAAGAATTAAGTGCTATTTTATAGTTTAAAATAATATTTTACAGTATAAAATAAGTAATAGGCCTTGTTCGGTGCAAACGACGATCGGGGTTGCCCGGCTTCGTTGATAAAAAAATTGAGATATGAACTCCCGTTCAGATTTCAATAAGTTCTTGGAACTTGACTCCCTCAAGCTCCAAGAACTTATTCTTGGAGATTGACTCCCGTTCAGATCTCAAATTAATTTTGATGATAATGAACAGGCCTGTGAGTCCACCGCTGGAGCCGGGAAGGCTGGTGTCTCTGGGTATTTGCTTTTCGTGGAGGAGAGATTCGTTGCGTAGGTAACTTCTCAAGATGAAGGCGTTTTGAAAAAAAGGGCTAAGAAGTAATAGAGAAAGGAGTTTTCAGAATGGAAAAGAGGGCCGCCAATGTCAAACCTTAACGTTACGTTAGGGCTCTTCTTTAGGCGATAGTGTTATCTTTAAAAAAGACGTTAGTGGTGATTACACTGCGTTGTTTGATTTATTAATTTTATTTTATTACTGCGTTGTTGCTATAGCACCAGAAATAAGAAATTTGAAATAAATTTAGCATTAAATTATTTTTAGCAAATTTTGTTACATGATATAGTGGACTAAATATTACAAGCTTCTCGTATTTGACATAAAAATTATATCATATTTCGGGAAAAGCAAATTTTTTTTGTGAAATAATATAAATATTAAACGTTAAGCATAATGTTATAAATCAGGTCAAAGTTGTGCTTCTTCATTATTACGTTGTTTTGTTAAGTTTGCGGAGTGATGACGGCGCAAGGACATCTATCACATCAATTTGGGAGGTAACTGTGGGAAATACCAAAACAATTTTACGGCTTTCCATAGCTATATAATGCTAAATAACTATAGGGCTGTTTTACCAACTCGTTTTCAACAGACGTTAAAATGACTATACTTAGCTATCTTGTAGGTAGTATAGTAGCATTAAAATTGATTTCTGTCACTGTAGTTGTACGCGAGAACGTGAGTAGCCCGGGTTCGATCCCCGCCGGCACCAATTAAATTGTTAATTGCAATTTTAGGTGCTGATTTACCACGTGCTCAGCGTTGAAGGAAAATATCATGAGGAAACCTGCATGTCTGAGGAAAAAGAAAAAAAATATTTCGAAGACATGTGACGTACGTCAACACGCATTGGGGCAGCGCGGCGGACACTTCCTTGCCCTAAAAACCCTCTCAGAAATGAGGAGAGGCCTGTGCCCAGCGGTGGGACGTATATAGGCTGTATCTTTACTTTATTTTACTGCGGTTGTCTAATGAAGATATCCGCAGTAGCACCAGAGTAACCGACATAACCCAAGAGATTAGTAAGCTAAAGTGGAAATGGGCCGGATATAAAGCTCGAAGCAACGACAACCGATCGGGAAGAAAGGTTCTCGAGTGGCAGTATTGTACTGGTAGGCGAAGAGTAGGGCGTCCCCCACTAGATAGAGTGACGAACTGGTAAGACATGCAGGAAGTCGATGGATGCAGGTGACTCAGGACCGTGCTTTGTGGCATTCCTTGAGGGAAGGCAGCAGTAAACTTGTAAAGGTCTGTAATGAATGAATGAACGAATGAATACCAATCCACCTGCCCAACGTGATGGACAAATCCTTCGTATAGTAGGAGAGGTCCATGCACAACCGTGTACATATAGGGTGCTATTAAGAAGAAGTAGAGGCTCTACAACTACATGTCTTTGCCTTTTTAGGAATGAACCTTTGAGGAGACGATTAAGAGGATACCTTGAAAATGAATCGAAGTTTTGGGGGCGTGGCTTATTCCTTTGTCGGTGAAGCTAACGGACGACCGAGGGAGTATCTAAATGAAAGTAATGCAATGACTTCATAGTACACAAATTATGAGATAGTCAAACCGAGCAAGCGCTCGGAAAAAAACTACGTAAGCGCCAAACAACATTTTTATTTATTTTAACAAAACTTCGTTATGGATTAAAAAACTGGTTTATGAGAACTTAGATATGATTATTTACTATGCCTTAAAAATAATTACATGAATTTATTCGTAAGAATATTATGGTGTCATGGAGAAATGTAAATAATTAGAGCCTACCTTTCAATTTTTTTCTATCGAGAAAATTACATGATATCGTGTTTTCCTTTTATGCAATCCAACGTCATATAGTCAAAAATCACATAGCAAAGTTTTGGTTTGTAATCTATAAAACTTAAAAAAATATGTTAAATAGAAAAACCACATAATTTTCGAGGTATCACCTTAATTTTACAGTTTTAGATGTATTGGTCATTGCTCTTGATTGGCATGCTCTACTGCTTGATTGTTAATAATATTTTCTGGCATCTGATATTTTTATCACATTTCTATTATGAATAAAATTTTAAATTAGCATTCATTCATTCAGCCTTTCAATGGCTACTTTTGAAGATGGTCTACGGTCTTGTCGATTGTAACATAAGGGGGAAATAATTTAAACTTATGCCATCACAATTACTAATAGTATTTTCGGTGACCGTGCCGAAAAGAGGGTATTATCCACAATATCAGCGTGCGATAGCAGCTTGCTGTTTTCTAAGGTGAGGGTTGAGAACCGGAGGTCCTTTTTACTGGATAAAAGATCGTTTCAACTTAGTCCTCAGGGGTGACAACGCATCCGCATTTTATTTTAAATCGAGGATAGATGAAGATATCTATGGGCCACAGCAATTACCTACCATCAGGTGGAATGTGTTCTCATTTGTTACCCTTGTTCTATAAATATGTTAAAATCAGGATCCCAGACAGATAATAATACAGTTTCCTATATTCAAATCAAGGAAATTTTAAAACAAGTGCGCCAACCAATAAACTATGAAGATTATAAATTAATGCATATCACTAATATTATCAAACTACTATATAATCATAGATGCAGACAAAAATAATTTTGAAAATTCAAAATAAACGTTTATAAAATGGAAATTAAGAAACAAATATGTATTCAAAAACGCTAGACTGGTAAGGTTAGACATCAACCAAAGCGGAGATAAACGAATGCGTGAGTGCGTTTTGCGTTTTGCAGATAAATAAAGATAAAATTATTTTTTTGTAAAACAATGATTGACTTGTTCATTTTTTTATGGAATATGGGTAATAAACGAGGTCATAGATATCAGTATAACCAAACAAATTGTCTTTTAAGTAGGTTAGAGACGGAGAGGTCAATCGTTGGATCCAACTCGGCTGCGCAGCGTTCGTTAGAGTACATCACACATCTCGACACGTACAGCATTAAATTTGAAAACAAGAGTGTATTATCCGTGCGTTTTGCTAATGATGATATACACGAAAGAGTCGTGGTATTTTACTGCCGGCCATGTTAGGAAGTTATGGAGGCTATGCTAGAAATCTCTTTGCGTGATAGACTTCGTAATAAGGGTATTCGCAGTAGAACCATAAGAAATAACAAGGAAGTGGCAGATAACATCATCATCATTATCATCATCACAGTTATTCACTAGTCCACTGCTGCAGATAGGCCTCACCAAAGGAATGCTACAAGGCACGGTCCTGAGCCACTTTCGTCCATAATTTACCAGGTAATTTACTAAATACATACATTTCATCAACTTCAGGGATAGTGTTCCCTACAAGTACCGCGATAGGTGTGACGTGGATATTTCCTTTGTCATTATTGCCTTTTGATTTGAGTTTGTCTATTACCGTTGTCTTGGTAATGTTTATCTTAAGAAAAACCGACAAACGATAGGTAAAAAGGGGTTTTTGAGAGGTAAAAAGTTGCTAACAGGTGTAGTACAGAGTGGTCTTCCATTAAATAGAGTAAGGATTTGGCGAAGACGTACACGTTTAGCAGTGGACTTGTGAAGGGCTGTAAAGATGGCGATGATATGTTTATTAACTTAATATATGAATAGTTTTTAAGTTAAAACTTATCGAATAAACATAATTGCATTACAAAACAACGTCTGAAATCAGTTTGTTGTAATGTTGTGTAAGTATAACCTTATTTTTTTTAATAAACGGCTCTTGCGACTATATTCAAACAAAAGAAGGCTACGATTCGTTGTTATCTCTGAGAACTA